TATACTTGTTTGGAATAAATTATTACCGCTTTTATATTAATGTATATACAATTAATTTATATTATATTTTATATAAATTAATAAAAATATATATCATATTTGTCCGAAGGCACGCCAAAAATTGGGTCTGGGGGCGAAGCCCCCAGTATTTTTTAATCCCCCCCCCTTAAGAAAGTCCTGGCTACGCCTATGATCGGTGTTATAGTTTAAGCTTGATTATTTACTGAGGTACTACATTTAGGGCTTCTTTTATTAATATATTTTAAAATTATTTTTTTTTATCATCTGATTCAATCCATAAGTTCTTAAAATGGATGTGATATTGTTTTCAAAAAAGCCTCAGTATATATGTAAATCACAGGAAAATATTTTCTTAAAATCTATTGTCCATACCACCTTAGACAGCTTTTAATAAAGGTAGTCCTTGAATATTTAAGATAACATATGCCCCTTTTTTTTAACCACACATAAATAATATACTTTAATATGTTTAACAAAATTTGTGTTTAACCATTTATCATTTTTTTTGTTTATACAGGTTTTACATCCATCCTGTACATTTTTTTAACTTTTATTTTTAAAAAATTTCCATATAAAATATTAAGATTTGGTTTTGATTCAAGGGAACTTATTTCCATAATTTAAATTTCACTACCTCCTTCTTCACTATTATTAGTGTTAATCATCCTACAAATTAAAAAAATATTACATAAAATTAGTAATGATATTCTATCGAGTTACATTTAACATTTATATATAAAATATCATTTTACTTATTTCGTTTAGTGTTGTTATTTTTTATCATCTACATTAAAATGAGTTGTAAATTTTCCAGCTAATTTTGATTGTCATTATTGTTAGAAAAGGAAAAGGCACTTTTAAATATTTTATTTCTTGTCTGAATTTTACAACATAAAAATAATAATCAATAAACGCCGATTTTTTACAAAATATAATATATTTCTTTTTAACATTAATTTTTATATATAAATAAATATTTATTATAATACAACATGTACCCCCTTTTCAAGGTAATACATGCCACATTTTACCATATCTATAATTTAAGAATATTTTTTTAAAAATTCTTTTGATTCAAAACTTCGCATCATTAAAATTCTCTTGATATCGACGTTGAACGAATCTTCATATCATTGATAATTTCTTGATATTATTGTATAATTCATTTCTGACGTATACGACGATTTGATATTTGATTAAACGATTGTTTTGGTTGTTATCAAAAATTATCTTGGTTAATGAGTCATAGCTTGATTTATCCATTGCGTCATTGGTCAGTCATGATCCTTCTATTTTAAGCTTGGTATCCTTATCCAGCATTGTTGATTATCATTAAATTTTAATGGTTAATGTATCATAGATCTATTGCATCATTGTAATTTATTGAGTTTATTACACAGTATATTACACAAAGTAAGTAAGTCAAAAAATAAATCTTAATCGCTTTAACAACATATTCACAATACCCCCTTTCTACATAATGAACCATTACACAAAACAACAACCTTATTATTTTCATTTTATTATTTCTTTATTCTCTTACCCTTATATTTCCAATTATTTCTCTATTTCACTACCAGTTGCTTTTTCGCGATTTACGTTTCTTCTCTTCTCAATACTGCTCACATTTTTATAATCTTCTATTTTTACTTCTTAATTCTTTGATAATTAATTACTTTTTATAACCAACAATTTTAACAAACTTATTACATTCCCAACTCAGATAAATACTTTATCTTCCCATCCTTTTTATACCATAAATAATAAAAAAATAAAACACGTTAAACTTCAATACAATGACCTTTCTAATACCATAATTGACCCACATATTTTACTTCATGATTTTATTACTATAACATTTTTTGAAAAAAATAAAACAACTGCACGTGTGCATCTATTTTTTACAATTTTTTCATTAACAACATTAACAATAACACTAATCAAATTTTACAATATTAATATTTAATACATTATTTTCTTCATTCCACAAGAACTATCAAACTTTTAATTCACCTAACATTTTACAATTGGACTAAGCGATCTATAACCATTTTACCCCTCAAAAAAATATATTATATAATTCTACAATTCCCTCAGATAATTAGTGTTTATAATCCTCATATACGAATTCTCAATTTTTCTTCACTACAATTTTATACCCTTCTTGTTCCCAATTACTTCTTATGTTTTTTGAACCTCTTATTATCCTCCACTTTCTTTTAAGCAAATATCTACCTTATAATCTACGAAACAGCCCAATTTTTCATCCAATAAATTTTTATATTTATTCTTTAAATCAATCATATCATTCCTTAATAGAACTAAATTCTATTCTCCTTCTTCTACCACACTTTCATTTTTTAATTTTTTCCTCACCAATTTCACCGGAAAATTTTTCGATACATGTAATTTTTCCCTCTCCAAATTTGAGTCATTATAAATTTCATCACATTTTATATAATTATTCATCATCCTCGATTTCCCTGTAATTATTTCATTGTCTATTTCCAAATTAAAATTTTCATCATCAATTCCCAAAATATTATCAACTTTCAGATCAACCGATATATTATCAATTTCCAAGTCAATATTTTTTTCAATTTTTGGATTTTCCATATAATCAACTGATATCAATTTCCAAGTCAATATTTTTTTTAATTTCCGTATCAGACATTATACTTATACCAATTTTATTATCCAAAATATCAAGCTTCACCGGACCCATTTTATCACTTATAATTTTTCCATTTTTCTGAATTTCCTCAGAATTATTTAATACATTTTTAATTCCATCACCTTTAAGTATTTTATTTTCCAAAAATTCATTTTCTCCTTTATCACATCTTGATTATTATTTGCCATATTCAATAAAATTTTATTTTTCATCATATTTCCTGAGTTTTTAACATCCACTTCTTTTACAGATTTTTTTAATACTTCAATATTTTTATTTTCATTTTTCTCTTGAAATATATTCAACAAAATATTTTCTAATCTAAATTTTTATATCCAATTCCATCCCAAAACTGTATCAATTTTTTCTTCTAATACCCACAAATCCAAATTTATTAATTCGTTATTTATTATTACCGGTAAATTTACTTTCCCTCAATTGTTTTACCCTCATTTTATCTTTAATTATGTGTTCCCATCATAGATACTGTTGCCCCTGTATCCAATAACATCAAAATCTCTTTATTTCCTACATTCACTTTTACTCTTGGACATTGATTAAAATTTTTATTATCTTCCAATTTGAAAATCGGTAAATTACTAATATGTATATTCTTTCGTGTTTCATTTTCCAATATATTTTTATAATCTCATAAATGTTATTTACATTTCCTTCATTGTTTCTTTCTATTTCATTATGATCATTTACCTTATTTTTATATATATTTTCTTCCAATTGATCCAACTGATTTTTTGATGTAATTCCTCCAAATGTTTTTATTTCACTATCATACAGTCATCCTGCTGTACAATCTCTCACATAATGACCAATATTACGATACTTAAAACACATTATATTTTCCACATTTCTTTTTTTCATAAATATTAATCCCTTCATTTTTTATATTCCACCGCTGGAAATGCTTTGGAATTTCCTTGCTGATTTTTATAACACTTATCCTGACTATGCCCAAACTTTCCACAATTTTCACACGCAGCTGTAATTTTTGTTTTTCATTTAATAACTTGTATACCGGAACGTAACAATCCTCAGCATGATGACCTTTATTTCCACATCTTTTGCAAACTACTAATATTTTTTGATTTATCCCTTCATTACATTCTCTGCTTATATTGCCATATTTCCCACAATTATAACATGTTTTATTTTGCCCCGCCCTATTCCATTGATTCCTTCTATATTCCATTCTATCTCTTTCTTCCTATGTATTTTTTTCATAATCTCGCACTATTCTTTTTTTTTATTTTCCTCTTCCAATTCTTTTATCTTTCATTTCTGTCATTTCTACTTTCAATATTTCTTTTTCCTTTTTTTCTAATTCAATTTTATCCAATTTTTATTTATTTTTTCTTTACTTTCTTTATTTTTTCTTTTCAATTCTTCTATATCTTTTCTTTCATTTTCCCAATCTTGTTTTAACAATCTTATTTTATTCACCTCTTTATTATAATTTTTTCTTTTATACCAAATATAAATACTTAATATTAGTCTTAAAACTAATACTAAATAAATACATTGAGACAAATTTCTGATTTCTATATAATTATAAGCTCTTGTAACTTTTTTGTTAAACATTATTTTTTTTAATTTTTACCTTACAATTTATTCAAATTTTTGTGTAATTATAATAAATTTATTAAAAACTTTATTATAATAATAATCTTTATAATTCTAAATGAAAAAAAAATATGCTAAAGCTATTATTGTTAATAAATTGTTATATAATACATTAAATTTCAATAAAGAAAAATTTTACCTTTGATTATGAATTTTTTATTTTCCACCGTGATTGTATATTTTATTAGTACACTGCGTCCACTCTTCCTCAGATATCTTCTCTGTTGGTTGAATAAAAAAAATTCACGGCACCAAACTGTTAGAAAAGGAAAGAAAGAAGGCACTTTTAAATATTTTATTTCTTTTCTAAATTTTACAACATAAAAGTAATAATCAATAAACACCGATTTTTTACAAAATATAATATATTTCTTTTTAACATCATTTTTTTTATCAATTATTTTTTATATAATAAATAAATCTATATTATAATTTTCCGATGTCCTCACTACGTCATCGTGACGTCATGTCATCGCTATGTCATGTCATCGCTACGTCATGTCATCGCTACGTCATGTCATCGCTACGTCATGTCATCGCTACGTCATGTCATCGTTACGTCATGTCATCGGTACGTATTTATTTATTTATTTATTTTTTATTTGTTATATTTTTTTAAACAGATGTTCATACCAAATTCTGAAATCAGAAGAAGTAATTTATTTGTTGATTTTTTATGAGACTATCATTTTCCTTGACTGAAATCGGAGTGCCAGATACCAATTTTTAGAGATTATCATTTTATTTGAATTCCTGAAATCAGAAGAAGTAATTTATTTGTTCATTTTTTATGATCATAAGCTTATGATGGATGATATTCCCACTATTTCTAGAGAGGTTAACCTAATATTGACTTATTTTTTATTTATTCTTTTGTTTTTATTTTAGATCATGTTCTTTGCATTTATATCCTTTATATTATTCTTTGTTTTTATTTTAGATAACAAGCCCTGTCTTACCCATATTTAATGATTGTACAGGTGGTATATTGATTCCTCATCAAGTTTAATGCATTTATTTATTTTATTTATTCTTTTATTTCTATTTTAGATAACAAGCCATGTCTTACCCATATTTAATGATTGTACAGGTGGTATATTGACTCCTCATCAAGTTCAATACATTTAGTTTATTTATTTATTCTTTTGTTTCTATTTTAGATAACAAGCCATGTCCTAACCTCAGTTAATGATTGTATTCCCACTATTTCTAGAGAGGTTAACCTAATATTGACTCTATTTTTTATTTATTCTTTTGTTTTTATTTTATATCATGTTCATTGCATTTATATTCTTTATATTATTCTTTGTTTTTATTTTAGATAACAAGCCCTGTCTTACCCATATTTAATGATTGTACAGGTGGTATATTGATTCCTCATCAAGTTCAATGCATTTATTTTTTATATTTATTCTTTTGTTTCTATTTTAGATAACAAGCCATGTCTTACCCATATTTAATGATTGTACAAGTGGTATATTGACTCCTCATCAAGTTCAATGCATTTATTTATTTTATTTATTCTTTTATTTCTATTTTAGATAACAAGCCATGTCCTAACCTCAGTTAATGATTGTATTCCCACTATTTCTAGAGAGGTTAACCTAATATTGACTCTATTTTTTATTTATTCTTTTGTTTTTATTTTACATGTTCATTGCATTTATATTCTTTATATTATTCTTTGTTTTTATTTTAGATAACAAGCCCTGTCTTACCCATATTTAATGATTGTACAGGTGGTATATTGACTCCTCATCAAGTTCAATGCATTTAGTTTATTTATTTATTCTTTTGTTTCTATTTTAGATAACAAGCCCTGTCCTAACCTCAGTTAATGATTGTATTCCCACTATTTCTAGAGAGGTTAACCTAATATTGATTCTATTTTTTATTTATTCTTTTGTTTTTATATTAGATCATGTTCATTGCATTTATATCCTTTATATTATTCTTTGTTTTTATTTTAGATAACAAGCCCTGTCTTACCCATATTTAATGATTGTACAGGTGGTATATTGATTCCTCATCAAGTTCAATGCATTTATTTATTTTATTTATTCTTTTATTTCTATTTTAGATAACAAGCCATGTCCTAACCTCAGTTAATGATTGTATTCCCACTATTTCTAGAGAGGTTAACCTAATATTGACTCTATTTTTTATTTATTCTTTTGTTTTTATTTTAAATCATGTTCAATGCATTTATATTCTTTATATTATTCTTTATTTTTATTTTAGATAACAAGCCCTGTCTTACCCATATTTAATGATTGTACAGGTGGTATATTGACTCCTCATCAAGTTCAATGCATTTATTTTTTTTATTTATTCTTTTGTTTCTATTTTAGATAACAAGCCATGTCCTAACCTCAGTTAATGATTGTATTCCCACTATTTCTAGAGAGGTTAACCTAATATTGACTCTATTTTTTATTTATTCTTTTGTTTTTATTTTAGATCATGTTCATTGCATTTATATTCTTTATATTATTCTTTGTTTCTATTTTAGATAACAAGCCATGTCCTAACCTCAGTTAATGATTGTACAGGTGGTGATTTATCCTTCATTAATAAAAGAAAAAGATGGCAGATCAATCAAAAAAAGAAACGCACTAGGGATAGCGAGGCCCTACAAAATCTACTAACAACTCAAAATAAAGTTAGCATTATATATATATTTTTTTTATACTCTTTTATATTATAGAATACATCTATTTTAGCTTCTGATAATGGCCCAACTATTTCTAGGGAGTTGAACCTAATATTGACTCCTCTTCAGGTTCATTGCATTTATATTCTTTATATTATTCTTTGTTTTTATTTTAGATAACAAGCCCTGTCTTACCCTCATTTAAGGATTGTACAGGTGGTATATTGACTCCTCATCAAGTTCAATGCATTTATTTTTTTTATTTATTCTTTTGTTTCTATATATATATATTTTTTACTCTTTTATATTATAGAATACATCTATTTTAGCTTCTGATAATGTCCCAATTATTTCTAGGGAGTTGAACCTAATATTGACTCCTCTTCAGGTTCATTGCATTTATATTCTTTATATTATTCTTTGTTTTTATTTTAGATAACAAGCCCTGTCTTACCCTCTTAAGGATTGTACAGGTGGTATATTGACTCCTCATCAAGTTCAATGCATTTATTTTTTTTATTTATTCTTTTGTTTCTATATATATATTTTTTTTACTCTTTTATATTATAGAATACATCTATTTTAGCTTCTGATAATGTCCCAACTATTTCTAGGGAGTTGAACCTAATATTGACTCCTCTTCAGGTTCATTGCATTTATATTCTTTATATTATTCTTTGTTTTTATTTTAGATAACAAGCCCTGTCTTACCCTCATTTAATGATTGTACAGGTGGTATATTGACTCCTCATCAAGTTCAATGCATTTATTTTTTTTATTTATTCTTTTGTTTCTATTTTAGATAACAAGCCATGTCCTAACCCCAGTTAATGATTGTACAGGTGGTCATTTATCCGTCATTAATAAAAGAAAAAGATGGCTGATCAATCAAAAAAAAACGCACTAGGGATAGCGAGGCCCTACAAAATCTACTAACAACTCAAAATAAAGTTAGCCTTATATATATATTTTTTTTATACTCTTTTATATTATAGAATACATCTATTTTAGCTTCTGATAATGTCCCCACTATATCTAGGGAGTTGAACCTATTATTGACTCCTCTTCAGGTTCATTGCATTTATATTCTTTATATTATTCTTTGTTTTTATTTTAGATAACAAGCCCTGTCTTACCCATATTTAATGATTGTACAGGTGGTATATTGACTCCTCATCAAGTTCAATGCATTTATTTTTTTATTTATTCTTTTGTTTCTATTTTAGATAACAAGCCATGCCCTAACCTCAGTTAATGATTGTACAGGTGGTGATTTATCCATCATTAATAAAAGAAAAAGATGGCAGATCAATCAAAAAAAGAAACGTACTAGGGATAGCGAGTCCCTACAAAATCTACTAACAACTCAAAATAAGGTTAGCCTTATATATATATTTTTTTATACTCTTTTATATTATAGAATACATCTATTTTAGCTTCTGATAATGTCCCCACTATTTCTAGGGAGTTGAACCTTATATTGACTCCTTTTCAGGTTCAATGCATTTATATTTTTTAATTATTCTTCTGTTTTTATTTTAGATAACAAACCCTTCTTTATTTCCTCCTTATAATTGTTTAAATAATGATATATCTACCATTAATAATCAACAAATACAAAATAAATGTTCAGAAAAACACGATAGTCTTGACAAATCCCCAACTAGACAAATTTTATTTTTTGATGATAGCCTCCCAACTACTAGAGATTTGCATATATTGACCCCTTTACAGGTTCAGTACAGTATTTTAATGTTCGTTTTATTTCAATAATAATGTTTTATATTTATGCCTGATTTCTTTATTTATTTTAGGTTAACCCAAACTTAATCCCTCACATAGCTACAAAACATGATATTTCTATTAAAGATAAGCAAAGAAAAAAATGGCGACTCAACAAACGCCTTACCCGTTCTAGAATTACAGGTATGCAGGATAATAAGGACCTACGCCTGATATTAACTCCCTTGCAGGTTTTTAATGTTATATATGTATAGGTTTATTTTATAATCACCCAGATACCGTCAACTGATATTTCTATAACCACTACCACATTCCCTATGGCACCTCTACCATGTATATTTCGACATATATTTGATGACCACCACTCACCTATATTAGATATCGGAAATATGACAGAAATATGCGCCTTCTGCAATGCTAAAATGTGGAATGGAGAAAAATTATCAAAAAGCTCATGTAGAAATATTCAGTTTTCTACATGTTGTTTGAATGGGAAGGTATTTTTATCTAAAATTTCCCAATTACCACCAAATTTATTACGTTTATTTACCGGGAATCATTGTTCATCATCCCACTTTTTAACAAACATAAGAGCTTATAATTCCGCACTGTCATTCATTTCACTAGGAGTTAATATAAATAATAATTTATCCAATTCGCGATCAGGTAATTATACCTTTCAAATTAATGGACAGGTTCATCATCGCATTGGTTCACTCCTACCAACATTAGGGGAAACTCCTAAATTTGCCCAATTATATATACATGATAGTATAAATGAGATAGAAAACAGACATAACCAGGTTCCGTTTTTAGATCGTTGTCTTTTAATGGAATTGCAGAATATTGTTCACACCTACAACCCCTTTGCTTCTCAATTTTTGAGAGTATCTTCTATGATCGCTACTGGCGTTCCTAACATATCCTTAAACTTAAAATCTACTCCAAGTTTTGACGTACGTTATCGCAATAAACCTACCTCATCTGAAATAGCAGTATTATTACCTGGTGATGGCAGTGATCATATAGCCCATAGAGATATTATCTTAAAAACTCTATCTGGTCCTTTAAGACGTATTAATGAGCTCCATTCCTCATACGATCCCTTGCAATATGTTCTTCTATTTCCCAGAGGCGATATTGGATACCATCCATCCATTCATTATAGAAACTCAACTAATAAATATGTTACCTGCAGAGAGTACTATGCCTATCGCTTTATGGTCAGGCAGGATGATGAGAATGTTATTTTAAGATCCAAACGTCTTTTTCACCAATTTATTGTCGACAGTTATGCCAAACAGGAAACGCTTCGATTAAATTTTATACGTAATAATCAATCCAAATTACGCGCCGAACTCTATCAAGGCATACATGATGCTATTTTAGAGGGAGATACTAATGCTGACAATCTTGGTAGAAGAATAATTTTGCCTTCTTCTTTTACCGGTGGCCCAAGGCATATGCATCAGCTTTATCAGGACGCAATGGCTACTGTACGCTGCTTTGGTAAACCATCATTATTCATTACTTTCACCTGCAACCCTAAATGGGATGAAATAATGCGTGAATTATTTATCATCAGACCCCAAACGACCGCCCAGATTTAGTTTGTCGCGTTTTTGTCAAAAATTAAAATGTCTAAAAAAGGATTTGCTCTATTATCATGTTCTTGGCAAAGTAATCGCTTATATAGATGTCATAGAATTCCAGAAAAGAGGTTTGCCTCATTGTCATATGTGCCTTATACTAGATAAAACTCATAGGCTACCAACGGCTGATACTTATGATGATGTAGTTTGTTCTGAAATTCCTAACAAAATAACTGAGCCTAAGCTGTTTCAAATTATTAGCAATTTTAATACACATGGGCCATGTGGTATAACATTTCCTAATAGTCCCTGCATGATTGATGGAAAATGCTCAAAAAATATCCTAAATCATTTGTGGATACCTCTTCTATCGATAAGTATGGTTATCCTTTATATAGGCGACGAAATGATGGCGTTACCTTCCAAAAAAAATTAAACGGATTTATATTTAACAACCGTTGGATTATTCCTTATAATAAACATTTATCAAAAAAATATAATGCACATATAAATGTAGAAATTTGTTCATCTGTCCAGTCCATAAAATACCTTTATAAGTATTGTTACAAAGGCCATGACAGAACTACTGCTTCCGTTTCCATTAATAATGTTGATGAAACTTCCCAGTTCATTGATGCTCGATATATATCCGCCATAGAATCGCTATGGCGTACTTTGGATTTTGAAATGCAGGATCATTCTCCTGCAGTCTATCGTTTAGACCTTCATCTACCCAATCAACATATAATCCTTTTTCAATCAAATATTGATATAAATAATATCTTAACTAAAAATCCTGGTACAAAATTAACCGAATGGTTTAAAATTAATCAACTTGACACAGATGCCAGACATTATATTTATGCAGATTTTGTAAGATATTATGTGTGGAAACCTCTATCTAAACAGTGGTTAAAACGAAAAAGGGGTGGTAATAAAGTTATAGGCCGTATACGCACAGTTTCTCCTAAAGAGGGTGAGGTTTTTTATTTAAGACTATTACTTAATTATGTTACTGGGCCTACATGCTTTGAAGATCTACGCTCTTTTAATGGAATTATCAGTAACACTTTTAAAGATGCATGTATTCGACGTGGTCTGCTATCAGATGATGCGGAATGGAACCATTGTTTAGAGGAAGGTCTTTCATTTAAGATGCCATATCAATTGCGCCAGTTATTTTCTGTTATTTTATTACATTGTGAGCCGAGAGATCCTCTAGGTCTTTGGAATTCTTTTAAATTTTATCTTTGTGAAGATTTTTCCAAGAAAATATCACCAGAGCCGGATAACCTTATCACCGAAAATCTCGCGCTATGCCACATCAATCAAATTTTGATTCAAAATGGTAAATCTCTTAAGGATTTTTTGGGAATGCCTATCCCTTTATTATCCACCCAATCTCCATCTGCTACAGCTAATATTAGGTGTCACCTTATTCGGGAGGAAATTTCCTACGATACTGATGATATGTATAAAAAATATTTGGCTAACTACAATTTATTTAATCGGGATCAAAATATTATCTATGCCAAAATTATGTCCTTGCCCTCCACTCCATCCCATAATTTATTTTTTATAGATGGTCCTGGTGGTACTGGAAAATCATTTCTATTAAATACAATATTATTTAACTTGAGAGCTCAAGGTAAAATTGCTATAGCTGTTGCATCTTCTGGCATAGCTTCAACTCTTCTTCATAATGGCCGTACTGCACATTCACGTTTCAACATCCCCTTAAGTATTCATGAAAGTTCCTCATGTAATATTCCTTACCAAAGCCAAATAGCTGAATTGATAAGACAATCGGTAATTATAATATGGGACGAAATATCAATGACTCATAAACATATATTCGAGGCCGTGGATAGGTCATTTCAGGATATAATGAAATTAGACAAACCGTTTGGTGGTAAAATTATTATTTTTGGCGGAGATTTTAGACAGATTTTACCTGTTATTAAATGTGGTGGAAGATGCGACATTGTTAACTCAACCTTAAAACGATCCTATTTATGGTCACATATAGTGCCATTAAGGTTATGTATTAATATGAGACTTCTACAATTTCAGGAAGCAAATGATTATTTTATTAATAATGAATACTCAAAATTTCTTTTAAGAGTTGGTGAAGGCTGTGAAACATTCGATGGCTCCAGGGATAAAATAAAAATTCCTCAAGATTGTTGTATAGCTTCCAATGATATCGAGGATCTTATTGCTTTTGTTTACGATATAGACAAAGACAATTCATCATTTAACCGAACATCATTTGCTCAAAATGCAATCCTGACCCCTAAAAACGTAGATGTCGATTCTATAAATATTAAATTGATTAACAAAATTCCGGGAGATATAATTACATACATAAGTGCTGATGAAACCATAACCGAGGATGAAGCGACGTTTTATCCCACTGAATTTTTAAACTCTTTAAGTATATCAGGATTACCACCTCACAAACTTTTACTCAAAGTCGGGGTACCTATAATATTAATGCGTAACTTAAATTCTACTTCTGGTTTGAATAATGGGACTAAATTGATTATAACTTCTTTGCTACCAAATATAATTGAGGCGGAATTTGTTTCTGGTAGTTTTCTCAGTACTAAAGTTCTCATTCCTAGAATAAGTTTAATTCCTACAGATTCTGGCTTGCCATTTTCCTTTAAGCGCCGCCAATTTCCCGTGAGACCTGCTTTTGTCATGACAATTAATAAAGCTCAGGGACAAACGTTGAACAAAGTTGGCATCTATTTACCTCATCCTGTTTTTTCACATGGACAGCTATATGTGGCTATGTCTCGAGTTTGTTCTCCTCATAAATTAAAGATTATAACCAATGATAAAACAAAGACTACTACCAATGTGGTATATCATGAGGTTATATCCGATTAATCCCGGTTTATACGAATAAGAATGAACATTACTTAGTATGATATTATTTTATAATTTAAACAATTTTATATTATTTAAGCATCCTTTTGTCAGGCCGCTCAATATGCCCTTTTATCTCTGATGAATATTTTGTCTAATTGAAAATTATATCAAAGTACATTTTTAAAATTTAACTAAATGAATATAACAATTTTTAAGGATCCTACTTTTTTAAAAGCTTACCATTTTGTCGGATCCACCATTGCTCTATTATCCCTGCTGATTATTTTGTATAACGCACAAAAAAATATACATAGTACATTATTTTTATTATAAATAATATTATATATTATTTTATATCTATTCCAAAAAATCTTCATTTTATTTCAATAATAATGTTTATTTATATTTTTGCCTGATTTTTTTATTTGTCTAGGCTAACCCAACCTTATTCCCTCACATTGCTACAAAACATGATGATTCTATTATTAAAGATAAGCAAAGAAAATAATGACGAATAAACAAACGCCTTACCCGTTCTAGAGTTACTGGTAGACAAAATAATAAAGAACTACGCTTGAAATGAACTCATCTGGAGGTTTTTTTTTATCTTATGTTTTATATCTATGTTTATTTTATTTTCACCCAGTTCTCCAAATGATATTTCTATCACCACTATGACAATCCCTATGCCACCTCCACCTATTTTTTAACAAAAATAAACATTTTTATTTATCACTAAATTTTATTATCTCATTCTTTTCTTTCTATCTCTATTATCTATTAACCACTATATCTCAAAACCTTATCACCTTTAATTTATATAATATAATATAATAATTTATACCTTCTTTTTCCCCCCTTTTTTAATCTAATTTTTTAATTACCTTACAATTAATTAACCTTTATCTTAATAACATTACATTTATCATGTTATTTTTTAACTTTTATAATATCATAATAGACTTGATAAGTCCCCCAAAAATTTTATTTGATGATAGCCCTCCAACTTATTAGAAATATGCATCTAATATTGACCCTTCTACCGGTTTTACATTATTTTAATGTTTGTTTAATTTCAACAATAGTATATTTATATTTTTGCCTGATTTCTTTATTTGTCTAGGCTAACCCTAATCCCTCACATTACCAAACATGATGAATCTATTATTAAAGATAAGCAAAGGAAAAAATGGCGATTCAACAAACGCCTTACCCGTTGAGTTACTGGTGGCCAAGATAAAGGCACTGTGAACTCCTCTGGAGGTTTATTTTGTTTTTTATCTAATGTTTTATATCTATCTGTTTATTTTATACACCCAGTTGCCTCCAAATGATATTTCTATCACCACTAACACAATCCCTATGCCACCTCTACCTAATTTTTAACAAATATAAGCATTTAATTCCACTATCATTCACCTCATTAGGAGTTATTATAAATAATACTTTATCCGATTCCCTGAGGAACTTTCATGAATATTTAGATCAAACGTGAATGTGTAGTGCAGCCAATTTCATTAACATTATTAATGGGAAAATATGCGATAGTTTTGTCATGGCCTTTATAACAATACTTACGACCGTTTTATGGTTGAGTTGACAATGTCGTTCATGATTCTATTTTAGAGGGGTATACCAAAATTGACACTTTGGCAGAAATATCATTTCGCGTTCTTCTCCTCAGATTATATAAATTGGATATGATTTTTAAATAAAAGGTAACATCTTTCTTAAAAAAACGAATAAAATTCTCATTCTCCGTCATTTTTGACGGGCTATCTACTAGTATTTATTATAATACAACAATTATATTTAAAATATTGTAGAAAAAGAAGGAAATTCATATAATTCTCGAAAAAAATAAGATATATACTGTGATATGTAAAATTTTAAACATGAATATTAAAAAGAATCTGTATCATTTATCAAGAAAATGAAAAGATACAAGATTCTTTTCAGAATAAAGGATCTTAGATACAGATACTAGTATCTTATTAAAAATGTCAAAAAAATACTAAGTACAAGAAACAAAAGGATCTTGTATCTTAGATACAAGTATTCGCGGTAGTGCCCAACTCAGCAAACAATAAAATGTATGTAGCAAATACAAGTATGTAAAAAAGCATCAGTTGTTGAAGAAGCTTTATGTGATATTTGTTCTATAGACATTACCAATAATATATTAAATGATTAAATATACGAAAAATTTAAAATTTTTAGCTATTCTCTAACCTTTAGCTACCTCATTGTTGAAAGTGCAAGGAGATAAATGTACTTTGGCTACGTAAAAAAAGAGAATCTTAATTTGTAAAAACACAGAATACAATCGTGCCATGATTCTCTATTTTCTCCATCTGAACGACAAAAAAATTAAAGATATGTTGAGAGAAAAAATGATCTAAATACATGTGCTCACAAGTCATATATCATATATTATCTTAAAATATCTAAATTTGGATTAAAATTTTTATTTAAATTTTAAAATAATATCATTTTAAATATTTAACTAATAAATTAGTTTTTTAAAGTATCTATATCTTTTTAAATACAAGGTTTAAGATACAAATACTTTTAAATAATTTGTATCTTAGATACAATATACTTTCCAAAATTTTATGTATCTTAGATTCAAATATCCGCGATACTGCCAAACCCAGCATACATACATGCATAAATACATACATACGTACATACATAGACATTTTTATATATTATAGAATTATTATTGTATTAGTTAATATAATGCTTTATAATTAATTAATATTTATAATAATAGGATTTTAGATATTAAATATTTTTTTTATTGATATTTGGTATTTTATTTATCAATTAAAATATTACTAAAATTTAATTTAATTTTTTAAAAAAAAATACAAGGGAGATGGTTACTTTTTTCGCAATTTTATATGATAATTTTTATTTCAAAAATAGACTAACTAGTAATCTTTTATAACAGGAAATATTGCAACAAACCTTAATTTAACGTGAAATATTGCAATAAAAATGAAAAATATTCTATAAATCTAATTACATCAAGTTAATCTTTTAAAAATTAATTTAAAAATAAATACATTTCATATTTTTTTACATCCTAATAATTGGAAACACTGAAATGAAGTTAACGCTAATAACTTATACTCGCCTTACAATTATTTTAAATAAATTTTTTTTATATATATAAAACATTGACATTTTTTTTATTAGGGCTGGGAACCCATTGGATTTATAAAATTTACATAAAATTGATTTATTATTTGATTTGCATTTCAGTTTACATTAAAAAAGCATGAATACATTGCTTAAATATAGTCTCTACTCTTTTAAAAAGAAAACATTACCTTGTTTAAGACCAGCATCCTAAGCTAAATGAATAACCTAAATATTAACATGTAGATTTTAGACTATCAACTCTTAAATGACAAAGGATTGCAACTGAATTTAATAAAATTATTTTATCCTATTTATTTTGTTCCCTTCTTTAATCTTATTTTTAATTTAATAATCTAATCAGCAATAATAAATATTAGTAAAAATATATATATAATTTTGCAAAATGACTGTAAAAATTGTATTTAAAATTTTTATATAAATTATAATAATTCTATCAAGCCTAAATTTAAAAAGGTATTGGGTTCAGCCCTACTTTTAATTCCATAGTTGAATATGGATGTATTGCATGTATTTGAAGATGTTATTAACCAAAGTATGGAGTGTATAGACAGGTGTTATTAATTTAGGGGTCAGTTACTATCATTATTATCTATCCTATATTATTTATAAACAATAAATTTAGATTTAAAAAAAGACTTACATTAAGGCAAAATAGGTCAATGTTGATGGCAAAATTGGCTGATTAAAGTGATATTTGAGAATATTAGTAAAAATTAAAGAATTTTATAATTTTTTATACCTTTAAATTAATCAAATTTATTGTCATCTAAGGATTTTTTTAAAAATTGAATTTGTCAAAGGCCTAAGGAAAGGAAAAGCTTTATAATTAATATTTTTTGGATTACACCTAATAATTTCAAATTTAAATAATTATTGAATATGAAATAGTAATTATTTTACCTAAGAATAGTACAAAAATAGACTTTTTGCCATTTTCCAATGGTAGTTTGAATAATGAATTTATTAATAAATTGATAATACAAAGAAAACATTACAATTATTATTTTTTAATATGTGTCATCTCATTGCCAATAAAAAATTTTAAATATATTTTGAAATGAATATGACTAAGCTCCAATTTTTCAATTTTTTTTATTTATTCATTTATTTTTTCTAATAATTTCAGCAATAATTAGCTGTTGGGCTAGTAATAAAAAAAATATTGTGAATTATGTATAAAAACTTATAGATGGCGATATATGAATATTTTAATCTAGTAAAAGGCTTTCAAAGGAAACATCACTGTGATGAGCCCCCTGAGATGGTAAAGACTAATAATGTGACTGGAATGTTTTGCAGGTTAGCAGAGTTCTCAGCCAAAAGTAAATTCCAGCCTCTACAATAAGGTTGAAAGGAAGCCAATTAAGGAAGAGGACTTTTAAAAGTCTATAGCGTGATGCAATAGATAATTCAGGTGTATATGGAACTCGCCAATAATGGGATCGTGATAAACGCAATAAGGTAAAAGTGTTGGCAGAGAGTGGGTAAGGTGAACACATAAATTCCACCTGTTTTGGTGGATAGGGTAGCCTGCAGCCAATATAATTCCCAAATTTAAGATTTATTATGTGTTCTGCCAAGATTTTTACCTCATGCCCGTGGGTATCAAGGATGGCAGGATATTAAAATGCCAGGATGTACCCATATTTTTTATTAAATCGGGCCGATATTTCATCTTTTTAAAATATTGGTTAACGGTGATGTTATAAAATTATCTGATCCGATAGAATAGCTCCTTAATTTTAAAAAAATTGCACAAATTTTATAATATATTTGTTTGTTACTTATTATGTAAATAGATTAATATTATTATATAAATAAGTGATTTATTAATAAAAATATTTTATATATACTAATATATTTAAATGACTTATCTTATGGCATTTAAATTATAGATGTTACACTATTAAAAAGTATAAGTGAAGTAAAATCGCATTTGAGCCGATTTAAAAAAAATGGCTAACTCAATATTTTAGCCAAAAAATATTGTAAAATTTTGCTAATAGATGTCCAAACCTTTGTGTCAGTTATGAGCAAAATCTTCAGATTTGCGTAATATTTTTCTGGATATAATAGTGAGTTAACCGTTTTTAAAAATCGACTCAAATTGAATGATGTTGCAACACTAGATGTATTCATTAAAAATTAAAACGACTAGTTTTTTTACAGAATATAAAATCAGAGATGATATTCTATTCGGTCGATATCAATTTAATATCGGATTGGCCCCCAAAAGAGTTATCGGTGCATCCTTATTAAAATGTGTTAGTGATTGTAGGGCATAAAGAATCTTTGGGATCACAAAGTAATTAATGGAGGAAAAGGCATATAGGTGCACCTAACCTTTTTTCTTATCGATATAAGGTTATTTTTTAATTTAAGGAGGTTAACTATCATTTTGGGATATGTTAAAATTAGGGCTGTGCCGATATTAAATATCGGATCGGCACCTATATTTAGCGTTTTCCGAAAATATCGGATCGGGCCGATACCTGTAAAAAACCAATCCGATTTTTTTGTTTTTCTTTTTTTTGTTATTTTATGTTATGTATATTTATTTTACATTATTATAATATTTTCTAAATAATTTTTTTAAATTTTATTTCTTTTTTAAAATAGATTTATAGTATTTTAAAAGTTTTTGTTATAAAAATAGAAAGGAACACCCAAAGTTTTATTTATTTTAAATCTTTTTAAATAACGCTAATTTTTTTATTTATACTTTAAATAAAAGATTTTTTTAAATATGGTGTCTGAATTATGGAAATATTTTACAAAAGACAAAGATAATTTTGCAAAATGGGTTATTTGCGGAATCATTTGAGTCTACCTTCATTACGGCAGGAGATATAGATAGTCCATATCGTAGAATCTTATTCCCAGAAAATCTGGAGGCTCTCATATTTATTAAAAAAATCTAATATATTATAATTTTATATATTAAATATTACAATTTTATAATTCATACCAACATAAAATGCATATATTATTAAATATATATTTTTTTATTATAGCCTTAATTGTAGAAATAGAAAAATTAAATTCATAATTCGGTTTTTTTCATAAAAATATTGATTTGTTAATTACATTGGTTTTAAACGGGGGTGTTTAAAAATCAGTATAAATATCGGATCGGGTTTGAAGCAATATCGGATCGGATCGGTGAAAAATATGTTGATCGGCACAGCCCTAGTTAAAATTGACCGATATCTACCAATTATCAATTGAAACTGGCCGATATCGATCAGTTATCTGTTAGAAGTGACCGGATATTGATGTATTGACCGATACTGACCAATAACAAGTTACGATATCGGCGCGTTTACTAGAATAATAAAAATTTTTATAAATAAAAACATTTCTTGTAAATTTTTATTAAACTACGTTTTAAATACATACAAAAAAGGTATCACGATATATTCTCAAGATTCCCTGAAACGATTTATAAGTTCTATAATTTTTGCAATCCTAAATTACGCTATAACTATGACCATAAATGATGAAAGGTTTTTTGTTTATATAATATGGATTAGTTGTATCATTTTATTAAATTTGGGTTTGTATTATATTTGTGGAATAATAATATATTATCAGAAAAGGGATGAAAGTTAGATTAATTGGAAAAAAAGTGATTAGGATCTACCTTATTGAAAACAGATCCCTGGATCTGGTATATTTCTAATATTTATTTTATTAACTACTACTACTACTAGAAAACCAAAAACGAGAGCTGGAAAGTTATACCTTGAGCGCAAAGAACCAAAGTTTGTTGAACACGATAAAAATACGATTTTTGTGCGGGGACAAAATGCCAATTCTGTCATACTTAACTTATTAAAAGATCTAGTAAAATAAATAATCATTTTATATATATTAAAAATTTATTATTATTAAAGTATTCTTTCAAAAAACATAGTAGCAAATTTTTGGGCAAGAAAAACCCCATCAGACCATTCGAAAATCCTGTATCACTGGTTTAAATATTTGTTAACTATATTATAATTCGCTATTTTTTTTAGGAATTCTTTTCGCAAAAAAATGACGCTGCCTTATTTTTCATGGGTACTCATTCCAAAAAAAGGCCGAATAATTTGATTATAGGTAATTTTTTATAAAAAAACATGTTTGCGTTTTCATTTAGTTTTGTTAATTTGTATTGAGTTGATTTAGTTGCAAAAACTCAGCCCGACTTTAAGTTTTATTTACTTGAGTCAAGGGAAATTTAACCAGGGCAGGTTCAAAACCACCATAAATCAGAATTTTCTAAAATAAGTGGTTGGCTCCATTTAGGTGTCCGATTTTGGCATAAATATTGGTTTATAAAACTCAATCTAAATGCAGCTGGTCATTTTTTCGAATCGTTGAGCGGGTTGAACTCTTCCAGTTGATCCTCACAGTTAATTTACACTTGATATAAGTTTATAAGCCCATTTATAGTTTCATTTCTTCCATGGGCTAAAATTTAAAAGTTAAATTCTATGATATTTTTAAAAATATATTAAATATAAATATTTTTAGGACGCATGTTTGACTTTCATGTTTTAGATATTTACGAATTTGGTATGCAAAATTATGTCCCATTGAAAGATTTTCAGGTTAAAAATATTTTGTTTAACCTTATATAATTAAAATATTATATTATAGAAAAGTAAAATTATGGAAGGATCGAAGCCGGCTCTTATTTTTAATGGGCTCAGATTTGACAGTGACCCTACTTTCAAAAGATTAAAGAATTTATTAATTGGTAAATAATATGTTTGATTTGCGTTGTTAAAGTATCTAGATATAGAAATGTGGTATCTATATCTATATACACTTTCATAAAAAGTATCTGTATCTGGATATTATTTTCGAGATCTCTATCTGTTTTCAGGTACATTTTGATATATTTTTATTTAACGTTTTTATATATTAAAAATAAAAATATTTGAATGCAAAATTTATTTTATTACATATGAGCATATATATTAAAACATATATATATAATATTTAAAATTAAATATAAAAAAAAACAATATATAAAAATAAATATTCCTTCTTTAGAATATTTATTTTCACAAATCTAATTCCATCTATTAGTTATATGGTCAGCTTAATTTATTTATCCCCCTTGAAAATAAAGACTTAGTATTTTTTCGAGCTATCGAAATGTTATGTCGTTGTACTTATAATCAGTGCCGTAAACTAACGTTATTACTTCTTGGGGACAAAAAATCACAACATTCGTTATTTTCCTTGGAAAGAAAATTTTTGTTTGAGTAAAACATGTACATAGAAGAGTTTAGATATAATAAGTTTAAATTATTTTATTGTTTACCTTTTTAAATTTTATTAAATATTAACAATACCCTTCCATAATCGACACTAGTTAAAGCTAAACCTTTCTGTTTCCTGGATTAAAATTTGAAAAAAAATTATTGTTTAATAAAATATTTTCGAAAGTGGTTAGAAAATGTATTTTAAATTGTACATTTTATGGATAACCTATTTTTAATTTTATCTAATTTTATTACCATTTTTTAACTTATTTTTAATTTTATCTAATTTTATTACCATTTTTTACGTAATATCTGAAAAATAACATTTTAATGACTGTCATAGTGTTTTATTTTATTTGAAATTCTTTTTTTAGTAAGTAACGATTAAGAAAATGACGTTTCATTGTTAGGAAAGTTTTGAAAAATAACGGTTTTACTTTTTTAAAGTAAGGTTTTCAGCACTGCTTATATTATATGAGTTATATAAAAAATATCTAACTATATCTTATATTTCTTTAAATAGATGTATTTAGGGGTCCGCAGATTGATGCTCTAGCAATAAATGGGATAGAACATGTCATTTCTTTCACTCTATGCGAAGATATTGACTTAATTTCATTCAGGAGTTTTAAACTGTAAACTTAATTTTAGTTATATATTATAATATCTTAATTAATGGAAATTATGTTTTTTATAACTAATATATGAATATTTATTAAATTGAAAATTTCCATAAAGAATAAAAGCGGGAAACAATGAACCAGGCGATCAATGCCTAGACGAAATAGGTCCCCGGATGGACATGATGTACAAAAGATCAAATATAGCATCAGAAGAGTTATTTAAAAAATCGATTAAACTTCCAAAACAATTGAAAGTAAATAGAATATTTTTTGTTAGGCTGTGTCCTAAATGGAAAAATATAAATAAACATATTTATTTATAATAGATATTTAGGATACAACTTTAACCATTATTTATTGAGTAATACCGCTCAGCCTCGTCGAAAAAAACGACAGCCTTCAATTTTTCATGACACATAATTTGTGATATTAAAAGAGTTATAAGGAGCTTTTAAGAAATTATAGTGCATCCTTTATTATAAAGACTTAAAAACATGTATTTTTTTTAGCCATATCGTAATTACAATGATATTAAAAATTGGAGTAAAAAAAAATTATTTAACGTTTGCTTGAGTTATCCAATATCAGAAGTCTGCAAATGTGAAAATTTCAGGCCTGGCCCAGTGGGAATTTATAGAATGCTTGGCCTGGCCAAATTTTTACCTGACCCAGTCCAGTTTAAAAAATTTTTCTAAGGTTGCTTGGCCTGGTTATAAAAAAAGTTTTTAAATACAAAACCCAAACCAAAATATATATTGTTGAACACAACATTACAGATTTCTCATTCGAATGGTTCTAACATAAAAAGAGTTAATTTGACTGAAACTATTTTATGCTACATTCGTTGAATATTTTTCTGCAAATCTACATTCATTTAAGAACGATACCTTCACAGCTCTCTTCATAATTGCCCACATATTATTTGATTAAAATCGAGGGTGAAAGACTATTCTAATACCTTTACTCTATATTTAACAATTATTTTTTGACTAATGGCATGGGATCCTACCCATTTGGAAAACGTATTTTGATAAAATACTAAAAGGATATTTATATCTTTGTATATTAAGGTCCATCAGTAATGCATGACCCCTCACACCATTTCCTAATGCCAGGGATTTTTTTAATCTATCAATTTTCTCTTTCTAAATACGAATAATACTAGTTATTATATTCTCTCTCAAATCTTAATCGCTAAATAACAGCAGCTGATATCAATTCTCGGAAGTATTCTAAATTTTCACATGTCCAATCAAGTTTTTTTCTATTTTCGAAAGTTATTTTTATTTATCCTATAAAAAATGTTGAATATATCGTATGAATAACAAAAAGTATTCGATTATTTATGAATAATTAAATTAATAGAGATAAAAAATTATTTCTACAGATAATTTATTATCCTTATTCGATTCAAATAATTTTTTTTATTCGTATTCCTAAAATATCAATCAAATAACGAATAATTCGTTTTAGGTACACTGTAGACTAAAGTTTTTACCTTATAAAATTATTTTAAGTAGAATCCGAGCATATAATTTTTTTTCATATCCTCAACAATGTGCAACAGTTATTTTATCATAGAATCTTGAACTTTAAATCTATAAATGTTTAATTACTATATATTTTTATTTTCGATTTCCTTTTTTGTACTCATCAATGGCTAAATAATTAAACGCCTTTCAGCGTTTTCCACGACTTTGTCATAATAGCAAATCATTTTTAAAAATAAATTTGCTAGACAATTCGATTTTATGTGGTTATTTTATATTGAAATCACGTTCCACTTTTTAATCTTAAGATAATTTTAAAATGGCGGAAAAAAATAAATACTTCAAAGTTTTATATACATAATAAATTATACTATAATGTCCCTAAACTCTTTTTTAAAAAAATTAAACGATTCCATTTATTTATTAATTTTATAAATAATAATGCACAAAAAAAAGGTAGCCGATTTTAATTTAGACAAGAATAAATAGCAAAGTTTTTTTTAAAGTTCAGGCTTTTTCAGAAATTATAAATGAGAATGTTTATAATGTTTTATAAATTCAAATTATATTTTCAAAATTTTTAATTAGGTCAAAAAGACGAAAAATATATCATACGATGAAGAAGGTACGAAATTCGCGCGCATACATATGAAACCACAGAATTTGGGTGGTTTAAAAAGTAGAAAGATTAAAGGTCTGCAGCCTAACAAAATATTCAAAACAAAAACTCAGAATATTAATAAGATGAATGAAAGAATCGATTGAAATTTTTAAATCCATTGTATATCAAAAATGATTTTTATATCCCCATTACAATGAGTAAATATTTTTTTTATTAAAATTAAATACAATGTATATATTTTTTATAAATAGTTTATGTAAATAATTATTTTCTGATAAGAATGCAAATGATATAATTTTTTAAATTAAATTATGAGGTTTAATGGCCAAATAATTTGTTGGAAATATGCTCACAGAGTTCTTCAATTTCAATTTTTTCAAGGCTCGAGTTTGGCCCAAAATTTCTTATAAATATCTTGGACTTAAATTGTTTGGCCTTTATTATATAATATTAACTATTTTATTTTGATAAAAGATATGAAAATTTTATTTTGATATAAAATGTGAAAACAATATTTTATATTGTGATAAAAGATGTGAATACATGGAAAACATTTGTGTTGTTAAAGTAACCAGTTATATTTTTAAGAATGTACTACAAAAGTAATCAGTTACTTTATAGAATATATTAAATAATGTATGATGATTTTCAAAATATTACTTTTTATTAAATATAATGTCTCACCTACATAAAACGCTCCTGTAGAACGTTTATATAGTATGGGGAACCCTATATTTAGAGTAAGCCTTTCAAAAATTAATCGAATAATAAAGAATACAAATAATAAATTATTCATTTTTCAAATATCCGATTTAAATGAGTAAATATTCGATGAATTATTTAAATAATTAGATTGAATTATTTTAGATAGAATTATTTAATATTTAAAATAATTATCTGTTTTAATAAAATTTAATCATTTGTCATTTCTGTTAACCTATCAATCTGACAGGTGATGTGATCAGAGTCCTGCAGAGGCTATCTGAACCTCAGCCATTGAAAACTTTTATCTAGCTCGGATTACGATGTAAGAGGTAGCCCGACCCTTGGCTTAAAATTAAATATTTGAAATATCCTCAATATCACATGTCATTTTTCATCCACCACATTTCATTTATGAAATTTCCAAAATTAATAATTTCCTGTGATTTGTATTTTTGACTAATAATATTTACATAAAGATCTGCATTTGGATGGGTTTTTGGACCATTAGCCCTCCCACTCAATGTTTTAACAAAAAATATACCCGCCCGCCCATTAGTCTAAATTTTTACCCACCCACCTATTATGTATAAAAAAAATTTAACCCAACCGCTATTATAAAATTTAATTATGGCCATTCTTTCAATTTTATAAGCATCTAATAAAAAAAATTTGTATTACACCTCTTTAAAAAGTTTTATAATTTAGAAAATTACTATAATATTCAAAGATAATTTATTTGATCAAATAAAATATTTATAAAAAAATAAATATAAAATTGATATTATATTTAATTATAATGCAAAAATAATAATGAATCGACATTTTATGTATTTAAAAACCTTATTTTTTCTAAAAACCTTCCAGCAATGCTAAATTCTCGTTCAGAAGAAGCGCTAGTTGCAGGAATTGCCAATTTGATAGTTTTGGCAAATCTCTTGTCGTTTCCACCAAAGAAGTTTTAATATACAAAAAAGTTTTTATGATTTTTTTATAAAAGTTCATAAGAACAATTTTTTATTAATATTCACTTAAATGATTTTAAATTTTTTTAAACCTGCCTGCCCGCTTTTTAAAAAATTTTGGCCCACCCGCCCTCCCACTTAGATGAGCGGGTCGAAACCCACCTCTAATTTACAAAAAACCATATTTAACCTATTAATGGTCAAGATTTTTCTAGTGGATAAAAATGCTCAATTTTTTCAAATTATATTGATTAATGCTCAAATATGATATTTTAAAAAAATCCTAAATAGGAAATCTAGCCTGGTGCATATCTGCACCGTTAACCATTATAATAAAAACGAGAAAATGTTTATATATTATGAAAATCCTTGAAACATTTAGTATGAATTGTGATTTGACATGTTTGGCACTATTTTGAGTGCGTATGGCAATATCTGCATCTACGTCTTTTTCCATCTATAATTTTGGATAAATAATTTCCAGATGAATCAGTAGGGTTTTCGCTCTGTAATGCAAACTGCCTTGGGTGCCCTGTACTTAATTTTTTTTTCAATTTTTATTAGTGTTCAAAGGAAGTAGTAACTTCTCGCCTAAATGCAAGCAATTTCTTCTCATCTCGATTCATAAATTTCCACGAATTTACCAAAGCTACATCGATAAAATTGGTGAATATTGGCCACAGCCCTTTTCCCTCTTTTTATTCTATAGTAGATATGGGATTATCACACAGATCAACTCCACCCAAGTGTTATAAGCAGTGATCATATTTGGTTGAGAAATTTTTATTTTAGAAGATATTTTCTTGGAATACCTCTTCACCGCCGTATTATAATTCCAACGAACTATAAATATCGTTTAATTTTTCGAACCTATAATCATATTCTCTTTCTTTTTTTTCTACAGCATTTATAGATTCAACTGGGCAATGCTTCATTCTATTATTCCCTCACAGTTCCAGTTGTAAAATATCCCATTTGTTTTAAGTATGACAAAAGTTTAATTTACGTATAGAAACTATCAAAATATATTTTATGATTTTGGTTTTGTAAGGCCTAACTTTATAAAAATCTATCATGTATATATTTTTAGTATTGTCGGTCAAATGAATATTATATTTCAAATTTAGTAATTGTAATTGAGTCATTGTATTCCGGATTATTGGAATAGAAATATCACTATTATTAGACAAATACATCTTTTAATGTGCGAACGAATGATATCCAGTAAATAATAGAATTCCAATAAATCTCTTAATATCTGGGATGGTTATACATTATTAGACCTATTCATTTGTTTTGCATAAATATTTTTTTGATCTACAATTAGGGAATCTTCGCCGGAAATTAAAAAATATATCTGATGGATTTTTACCATGTAAATTGTCTTCAAGTTCTATTTTATCTTCATTTTCCCCATTGAAAGGGATTGTAAAATATAACTATCTGTTTTCTCAATTGTAAATGGCGAGAAATTACAGTATAGCTTCTTGTAACAGATGGATCTGGAATGTCGTCAATTGAATTATGAATCTCCAATTCACCAGCAGTATCTGAAGGTAAAACTCCGTCATTTGTTAAGTTATTTTAGAAACGATTAAAAATTAAATATTTATTTTATAGAATCTTGATTTTTTAATTAGTTATATATTATTTTGATAATTTTGATTGAATTGACAAAACAGGTGCATAAGAAAAAAAATGTTCAACAAGGAAGAGGGTACAAAAATTTAAAATTTTTTATGAATAATTTAAATTTTCAAAAATTTATGAACCGTAATTTGCGTATAATTTCATATAATTAAGTCGAGATAAAAATTCATAAAAGAAACATATTATCGATTCTCAGGGGGCTAAAAATAATTTCAAAAGACCTTTTTTGGGTATAAAAATTTTTTCAAAACTTTCAGGAGGGTCGAGGCACCCCCCCCCCCCCTCCTTTTTTAGTAATGGTAATAGTTTTACGTATAATATAAAAAATTATAATTCATTATGTTAAATTTGATTTGTTTGAATTTAAAATAATTTATACTGCTAGATGGTTAACGGTGCATATATTCACCAGTCAATTTTATATGGTTACCAATTAAAATTTTAATTATTTAAAATTTCAAAAATGATTGATAAATATTGATATATCTAAAAAAAATATATACACTAGTTTCCATCGAAATAATTACATTGTAAGCTCGTGAGATCACTTAGAAGACTTTGCATTTTAGACCTCATAAATTCGCCATGTTTGAGGGCCTCTTAGGGACATAAAAAAAATTTCATATTTTTCTTTTCCAGTTTTGAGGTACAATGTCTAAACTATATAAAAACCTTTTTATTATTTTTAAAATAAAAACTACTATGCTTAAAAATGATATATAGGAGGAGGGTTGCCAGGTCAAAATTTTCAAATTGCGGGAGAAATTTGGTATTATGCGGGAGAAATATAAAAATTGGTAAAAAAAAATTTTTGCGGGCGCCTATTATTTTTTATATAGTTTATATAAATACAAAGTCGGTAACTCTTTTTCAAAATAAAATAACATCTTGATTTATTAAAATATATTAATTTATAAAAAAAACCAACGATCTTTTTTAGATATAAAAGAATGTAAACAAGATAAAATTTTATAAAAAAAAACGATTTTAATTTTACAATTAAAAATATATTTTATGCGAATGTCCCGCAAAACGACCGCAATTGGAAATCTACAGTGTGTGTGTATAACATTATAGGGATAGGCGCTTAATTATCACGTATCACGTTTAAATACATAATAAGGTACTCCAAAAATAGGAAATGATGAAACTACAGTAGCGGCAATTGTAATCACTTATCTTGTAGTACAACATTCACAGAGATACTTATCATCACAATGTTGGTAGAATCTTTTTCCCATAATATTTAACGACTCTAATATAAATGAAAACTATACTTGTAGAATAAAAATGAGCAAGGCTATCATCAATGTTTTAGGACCTAAATCCAGGAGGTCAATTCTTGACGATTTGAAAAATGGGCATACATATGCAATTCTGACAGATGCATCTAATTCCTCCGCTATTTCATTAAAATTAAGGTCGTTTCAGTAAAACTATTAAATTTTTTCCCCTCAAATAGCGAAAAATGCAAAGACATAGCTAACCATATAAATGGTAAATATAGCAGATTCGAGATTATCTCAGCTTTCTGATCTGATAATGCCTCAGTGAATTTGGTAAAAACAGAGTGTATTTACAGAATTTAGTCAGCACAATGTTGGTTGCGATATGTTCCTAATACCCGCCATCAGAATTTTAAAATTTTATAAACCTTTAAAAAAATATTTCTTAAATAAAGATTATAAAAGTTGTCCTAATATTTTGAAATTTTTTTTCAATAATGAATGGCAGAGGTATATTTGAATGATTTCACATGTAGGAAATCTACTACATGCTGTTAATGTGTAGTTGCAATCAGAAGAATTTTAACAAAGATTCATATGCTGCAGATGTGTTCATCTTTACAATTAAAAATTGACAATAAATTTTATTGCGTCATTGCTAAAACTTAATTATATTTTATTTGAGATTTAAATAATAGAACTAAATGTTTGCCGTCGTTATTGAGATATTTATAAAATTCCTGGCATGACATTGTTGTAGCCGTTGAAAAAAAGAAGAAATAAATTTAATATAATATACTAAATGTCAGTCATTTTCTGACATGAGGATTAATTGTTCCTAGGGGATAGAAGGGGAAAGGAGTGAACACATGCGGTTTTTTGGCGAAGAACAATAGAGTTTTCTTTGTGTGCCTTTTGGGGTGGAGAAGACATGGAAGCTGGATAGTTTAAGATAATTATTATTATATTTGATAACTGTTTTATATTATTAAATAGTTTTTGATCTTAATTAGATATATTTATGAATAAAATGGACGTTTACAATTTAGAATTTTAAAATTGAAATAGTAAATATGGACTTCTACAGATATATTATATAATTGTTTAATCATTAGCTCGATCTCTAATGTTGTTAAAGCAATCCGATTTCTCTCCTTTTTCCAGGCAGTCCTTGTCAGGCTAAAAATGCGCTCGGATGAGGCATTAGAACATAGGGGTAGCCAGGGGGGGCAAGGGGAAATTCCCCCCCCCCTCTTCAGAAATATGTCACTTTTTGTAAATATCATTTTAAACTATTAAATAATTTCTTCCTTAGTTCTCTCTTCACCATTGTCCCCCAAAAATGTATGCACATATCTTAAACAATAATTTGAAAGAAAGAATGTGAAAGTTATAATAATGTTTTATACTAAAACTGTTAACTATAATTCATATTTTTTAAAAAGAGGTTTATATATAAAAAAAGGTGAAACCAAACAACTTTTTTAAGAAATGAAATATAAGCCAATGATAAGTCTAGACAAAAGTGAAATTTTATATAATTACTATTAATAGATCCATAAAATTCCTTAATAATATATATTAATATCTTAAATATAATTTTTTATAAAATGAATTAATTTAATTTATTCTTCTTAATAAAATAATTTAATTATAAAATTATTAATTAAATTTAATTATAAAATTATTAATTAAATTTAATTATAAAATTATTAATTAAGTTAAATTATAAAATTATTAATAAAATTAAATAAATTAAATTTAAAAAATTAATATTTTACAACTTTTTAACGGATATCATTTCAATATCATCTGTTTTGATTTATATAGATAGAAAGTGTAAAGGTAAACAATTTTTTTAAAATCTATTTAAGTGTTAAGTAAATATATTACAAATTGGCAAATATAAATACATTTACAATTAATGGGTATAAATTTTAACTATATATATGAAATCAAATAGCATTTATATTTGTTATTTTTTAAATGAACAATTTTTTGTGAATTTGAATTGCTTATATGGACATTTCACATTTATATACCTATTCCCCAATATTTATAAATAACAATATCTTATAGACTTTATTTTTTATTTACTTAACCCTTCACTACATAGATGAAAAAAACTCCCGCTATGATCTTTGCATATAAATTTTGAACAAATAAATGAGGATTTCTTGTCCCTAACCCTTGGACAAGAGGACCACCTTCCTTTTTGTTTGGTTGAAATAGGTTTTAATTCCTCTATATTAAGCATATTCCCAATATTATCCCTTAGCAGTATATTAACATGTGGGTTTTCATATCTATTACTCATTAATGGAGTTATTAGCTCCATTGCTAATAATTTTATAAACTTTGATCTATTAATCTCCTTTAAATTATTGGATTTATAAATTATTAAAGAATTTATGCAAGATATATTCAACAAATTATAAAAAATTGTCATAGGCCATCTATTTGTTATTCTGGATATTGAATAATTTGAACATAGCTGATCCACAACATCAACACCAGCTTTGGTGAGATTGTAAAATGTGATAATTTCTGGTTTTTTCAAATCCCCAGTTGATGTATCAATATTGTTATCATAGTGAAGGGTAGAAAGCATAATAACATGCTTATACTTTTTTGGTACGTATGATACTAATGTCATATTATCTTGGAAGGCAAATAAACTTGAATAAATACCTTTCTTTTTTAAATTAAATGATGTTGGAATCTGCTTTTTATTTTTTCTTAAAGTTACTACTATTGTTAATGAATGGGAATTTAATAAAATAATGTTGTGAGATCTGGTTCTTTTTTGGGGAATACATGCCTTACTCCATTTGGTCAAGCCATCTTTACCTAAATTTATAATATAAATTATATAATACTAAAATATTAAACTATAAAAATTATTATTTTCTTTTCCCTCTTTATCACTCTCTGTATCATCTTTCTCAGTTTCTGAATTGTGATTGCTATTTAGTAAATAATCATCATCACTTGATTCACAATCCATTTCACCTATATAATTGTTATATAAAATATATATAAATTAATTACTTTCACAAAAAATAAATAATATAAAATTTTCAAATTTAAAGTCATATATATCAATCAAAAAATAGAAATAATTATATTTATTAACCTGATATACATAAACATATTGCAAAATAAATTCTTTTTTATTAACACATGATGAAATTCAAAATTTATTACAAACCTGTCTTTATTTTATTGGCACATATAAATATATTTACAATTAATGGGTATAAATTTGTAACTTTATATATGAAATCAAATAGCATTTTTATTTATTATTTTTTAATTAACAATTTTTTGTAAATTTGAATATTATTCTACTTTAAGATTGATATGGACATCAGAAAATATTTTTTAAAGAATGTAAATGAAAAAGGTAATTCTATATTTGTTATAATATTTAATTTTCTACCAAGATCATTGTAAGAAAATTAATTCAAATCCAAGTGAAAATAGGGTATTACAAATAAGTAACAATCATAAAAATATATCAAAAGAGAAGGAAATTAGAATTAATTTAAAAAGGATTGATGAAGGTACATTCTATATTTATAATGGATTTAATATTTATCTTTAGTGATGGTGCTAGAAAATAATAATTCTATAAAATTAGGAGGACTTGATTCAAGTAAAAACTGAATATTAAAATTTTATTAGTTGATATTGATAAATCTCAAAAAGATGCTGAAACATTAGTGATTACACTAGAGAAAAATGATCCTATGATTCAGATAGTCCCAATAAGTACTGTATTTTAATATTATATAATTTACATTTTTTTAAAGTTAATGTTGATGAAAGATCTGCAGTAAATTTACAGTCAAAAGTACAGAATTTGCAATCTGGTTAAATTTGTTTTTATTTTAAAAATATGTATATAATTTATTTAGGAACCTTACCATTTGACATAAGCAATTATGTTCAAATAGGTGTAGCTCCCAAAGACTTTTATATATTAGATAATATATATAGGCCATCGAGTAATTATCAATTTCCTCGAGATCTTTCCAAAAGGAAATTAAAATTCCGTTGGTTTACAACTTGGTCTTGGTTGGCCTATTCACCTTCACAAAATGGTGCCTATTGTAAATATTATGTTTTATTTGGGCCAAAATATGCTGGTAAAGGTGAACAAAAATTAAGGCGGCTGGTGAACGGCCCATATAGACGTTGGAAAGATGCATGAGAGAACTTTGAAAATCATCAAAACAATTTATACCATAAAAATACACAAAATATTATATCTTCTCTAAGAGCAATTAATGCTAAGGATAGAGATTCAATAATTCAGATAATAGGTAAACCATATTTTATAACCTTATAATTACTTTTTTTATAAAGATCAAGGTAAAAAAAAATTAGTAACTGAAAATAGAAGAAAAATATCTCCTATAATAGATGCTATAATTACATGTGGAAATCAATGCATGGCATTGCGAGGGCATCGAGATTCCGGTTCTATATTTAATGATGATGCAAATGAAAATGATGGGAATTTTAGAGCTATTCTCCGAAACCGAGCAATTGGAGACGATGAGCTAAGACTCAATTTATTGAATGCACCCAGAAATGCTACATATTTAAGCCCCTCTATTCAAAATGAAATAATAGATGTGTGCAATGATTTAATTTTAAAAAAAGTAGTAGCAAATATTAATAATTCTCCTTTCTTTTCAGTCTTGGCCGATGAGTCAACAGATATATCTGGGATAGAGCAGATGTCGTTGTGTGCTCGGTATTTATATTCTGAAAATGGTAAAATTTATATTTATTTTGTATAAAGTATTATCATTTATATAGATGAAGTTCAAATAAAAGAAGACTTTTTGCAATTTATTCCTGTTCAAGATATGAGAGGGGAATCTCTTGCAAACACAATTGATTTACATCTTAAAAAATTTAAAATCAATGTCAATTCTATGCGGGGACAGGGATATGATGGTGCCCCTGCTATGAGTGGACATTTAAATGGTGTTCAATCACATTTAATAAAGAAATACCCTACAGCGATATATGTTCACTGTGCGTCCCATTCCCTTAATCTAGCTATTTCTGATTGTTGCTCAATTCCTGTTATTCGTAGTACCATGGGTTTATTAAACTTTTATTTTAATTATAATCATTATTCAAACAGGCACAATAGGCAAAGTTTATGATATGTTCAAGTATCCTAAAAGATCTAATGTCCTCAAGAATTGTCTGGCAAAGGAAGAATTTGGGAATAGTCACCATAAACTGGTCAAAATATGCCCAACACGATGGATATTACGTCATGAATCAGTTTCAGTTTTTCTTGAATTATTAGACCCAATAATTGTTGCATTAGAGGAAATACATGAATGGACCGATACGTCAGTGGTGGCGGAGGCTAATGGAATATTGAAAGCAATTCAAGATCCAGAGTTTTTATTGGCAGTACATTGCATTAACACTTTATTCTGTCACACTATATTATTATGCAGAGCCTTGCAAAAAGTTAATCAAGATATGGTTCAAGCATTGATCTTAGCAGAAGATGCATATGATACTATTTTAGAAATAAGAAAAAATGCTGATTGTGAATTTAACAAAATTTTTAACATCGTTCAAAAAAAAGTGCATTCATATAATATGATGATAATCATGCCAAGAATTGTATCGAGGCAAGTACATAGGAGTAATATATCCACTCAATCGGTAGAGGAGTATTACAAAATTACGATTTTTATACCACTTATGGATACATTTTTAACTCAAATTAAAGATCGCTTATTGAACCATAAGCTACTACTCAATAACTTACAGATTTTATTATCCTCTAATCCATCTATGAGCATCTCGGATGATATTATAAATAAAATTCGCTATTTATATAATTTTTATTTCCAAGATATGGTAGGGAGCGAATTGGAAGTAATTGCTGAATTTAAATATTGGTATGCAAACTTGAAAAGAATGGATATTAAGCCTGATAATGCACTAAATGCACTCAATATATGTAAACACACACTAATAGACTTTCCAAACATTACGAAATTCTTTCAAATTTTAGCATGCCTCCCCATTACGACATGTACAAATGAAAGAACTTTTTCAAATTTACGACGACTAAAAACATATTTGCGAAATACTACCTCTCAAAATCGATTAAATGGTTTAGCGCTATTAAATATTCATCGGAAATTAACACCAGCTAATTCTGAGATAATAAATGAATTATCAAATTCTAAAAGAAAATTAGATCTAACATTATAAATTATTACCACGTATTTGTATGATCTAATTTCTTTTAACTTGATAATTCATTAATTATTTCAAAATTAATTGGTGTTAATTCCCTATGGATATTTAAGAGGGCTATATTTGATCTATTTAGCAAATATATTTTTAAATTTCATAAATTCGAGAAAGTTCTTTCATTAGTACATGTCATAATAGGGAGGCTTGCTAAAATTTTAAATAATTTTGTAATGTTTGGAAAGTTTATTAATGTGTTAGAGCTTTTATTGCATTATCAGGTTAAATATCTATATTCTTTTTAAGTTTGCATACCAATATTTAAATTCATTGATTACTTCAAAATTGGTCCCTAACATATCTTTTATTATATTTTATATAAAATAGTAAAAAATATATTTCTTATTTGTTCCAGGCTTATTTTTTAATATAATCTCTTTACCAATGTCTTATATTTAAAATAAAAAGTTTGTTAAAATTTACATATGTTGTAAATATATATTATAAATCTATATAGACTAAGGAAACCCGGCCGGCCGGGCAAAAGCGGGCCGCAGGCCCGCCCAAACAGGGTCTGGGGGCGAAGCCCCCAGAAATTTATTAATTTCTCCCCCCCCCCCTTAGGAAAATCCTGGCTACGCCTATGCATTAGAATGAGGTATGAGGTAAGAAGACATACTCGCATATTTTTTCCAAGCATGGGGATTTATCGTTATTACGAAAAAATTCTACCCATTTCTCCTCTGCTTTTAGATCATCTAACTTTAAGTATTTTGGCGAATCATAAAAAATAGAGAGAATTACAATCTCCTCAAACAAGAAATCAATGTCTTTCTGTATTTTTAATATATTATAAAAACCATCAATTGATGGTTTCTGTTCCAAGGTCATAATATTTATACATTTGTAAATAGAGTTATTAAAATCAAATTTTGATTGTAAATATTCTAAAATTGTCTTAATAAAAATATCTGCTTCATTTATTTGAACATTTTAATATAATATTTTTAGCAATAGCGCCATAAAATTTATTATCAATTTTTAACTGTAGAGATGAACAGAGCTGTAGCATGATTTTATGAATCTTTTTTATAAAGAATATTCTGATTGCAACTGAATATTAACTGCATGAAGTAGATTTCCTACATGTGAAACGAATCCCAAATATGCCTCTGCCATTTCATACTCGAAAAAAATTTTCAAAATTTTAAGACAGCTTTAAAATCTTAATTTAAGAAAAGTATATTTTTAAGGGTTTGTAAAATTTTAAAATTCTATCGATGGCAGGTATTAATGACAACCACCCAATAGGTATATATCGCAACAACTCACACCATTCCAAGTCAGACCATTTCACTAACTCATTTAATTCATTAACTCTTTTAGTTGATGACTAAATTAGTTATTTCGACATTCACCGATAGTACATTTATTGCCTTCTTGCAAGAATTATGTAGTATATGGCATATACAGCCAATTGGTATTAATTCATTATTGTGCTGCCTCAATTCGGTAATTTTGGTTTTTGCCAAAATTTACAGAGGCATTATTAGCGCAAAAAGCTGACATGCAAATCATTGATAACCCTGAATCAGCTATATTTACCATTATGTGGCTAGCTACATCGTTGGATTTTTCACTATCCGAGGAAAATATTTTAACAGTTTTATGGAAATGTTTTTATTCTTGTTGAAATAGCGAAGGATCAAGGTAAATTTAATATTTCCCTTATTAGATGCATCTGTTAGAATTGAATATGGATGGCATCTTTCAAATCGTCTAGAATTTACCTCTAGGATTCAGGTACTAAAACACTTGTGATAGCCTTGCCCATTTTTGTTCTGCCACAAGTAAGGTTTGCACTTATATTGGAGTCGTTAAATATCATGAGAAAAAGGTTCGACCCACATTGTGATGATATAGCTCTGTGAATGTTGAACTACATGATAGATGTATACGATTTCCGCAAATGTAGTTGCATCTGTATTATTTATTATTTGAGAATATTTTTGTATTGCAATCGATGTTGATATACTCCCCTGTACTGACTTATATGAATGAAATGATGTTGATTTATTATTGGATAAAAATAAAACAGGATAGAAAGAAATTTACAAACTAGACATGTTTTTCGAATAAATATTTAAAATTATTTTAAAAATATAAATATCATCAATAATGTCTCTCAAAATTATTATTTATATATTAAAAATGTTAAAATACTAAAAAAAAAATTGCGGTAGATTTTTGCGGGAGATTTCCAATTGAGGTAGTTTTGCGGGAGAGATGTCTGCGTGTAAACTAAAAAATTGCGGGAGTCCCCCGCTGATGGGGGGAGACATGGTAACCCTGTATAGGAGGTGGTGTATATATGCACCGTTAACCAGTAATGGGATATGTATTACATTCTACATGTAGCCAACATAAATCTAGATTTAAATTAAAGATTTTTTTATGCTTAAATATTGTAATTTCCTAAATTATAAATTCAAAATAGGCCTAAAAATTATAAGATTCGTGTATACGAATAATCAATTATTTGAATCTAATATAAATAATAAAAAAATATCCGTCGAATAATAAGATTTTTATTCTTCGATATAATTATTCAAAAATATTAGATATAATCTAACTTTAGAAGAATTTTCGAATCAATTATTCGAGAAATCGAAACTTCGATTCATACAGATAGGAATAGCGCAATTATTCGATTCAATTTTTTGTTGACCTAATTTAAAATATAGATTTTTAAAAAAAACAAAGCTTGCTTATATTATTTATTATATTCTGTTTTTAAATTTTCCAATAAATTTAATGATACTGGTAAATTCCAGAGACCTGCAGGCCGGCCCTAAACCCAACCCAGGTATACGGGCTGGGCGTATTTTAATTTTTTTAAATGTGACCAGGTCTGAAATTTTTATTAAATATTTGAAATCGCCATTATTAGCTATAAAAATCAAAAATAAATATATTTTAAAATAATTTTGGGCCGAATTAAAATTTTTTTTAAAAAAAAAAGCCGGGCCGGGCCATGCAATTGATACCTCTGCAGGTCTCTAGCAATCATTTAATTATTATTATGACAGATAAAATTACGAAAAAATTTATAAATACAGAAATAGGATTATATATATATGACAATTTTGGAAGAGTGGGTTTCAGTTCTTGGAATATAATTCTTCCAATTTTAAATATGTATGTCCACAGGGCTGTAGACACGGAAAGGGACTGGGTTCCCCAGCCCAAATAAATTTTTGCTCCCCCTCCCAAAAAAAAAATGGCCAGCAAACAAAGAAGGGATTGATATAACCTGAAAGCTAATTTAAATTTAATAGCAATATGGCCCAACAAATTAACCGTAATCGTTATGACTTAAATCAATATTTGATTTGTTTCTTAGCATACAGGAGCTACCTTTTCTTGGGGCTAGTTCAAAAAATAATATGGAAGTTGCAAAAAATGAGAGCATAATTTTCACGCACCAATTTAAAGGTTCTTGAATTAAATTATAAAATCAACCCATAAATGCACAATATATATAACCCCATTCAAAACGAAGTCTAATATTTTTTTTGTCATAAGGCTGATGTGACAAAAGATGCATCAGGTTAAACTTGAGCATAATTATTCATTATATTGTGGATAAATTTAAGAAAATCTAATAGAATTATTAATTTACAATGTCTTCCTGCTGAAAGCATTATTAAATGTAATTTAAAGCAACTTAATGAATTAAATATTAATTCATCGAATGTAATAAGTCAGGTATATGATTAAACCTTATATTTGACCGAAATGGAAGTACAAACCCTGGTTCAAAAAAAATTAATAATAAAGTGCCTTTGTATATCTTCTACATGAGCTGGCAATAAGGGGGGGGGGGGGTAGGAACAGTTTGCATACATTTTTTTGAGGGTGGTTGGCTAGGGGAGGTTATCTATTAAATATTTACATGAAATAGGGCAAAATATATTGATAATAATACAATGATTTTGCTAATCATCAACCATAGACATTATTTTCCAATTATTTTTGGAAAATTTTATACTATCCTTTTAAATGTAATTTCAAAGTGTTAGACATTCTATCAGTATGCCAAACAACTTACACTATAATACATACATTGTAAATGAGGGGGTTTTTAATATTAATTAAAAGGGTTTAATTTTTTAGTGGGGTAGGTACAAGTTTTTGAGGGAGGGGGGGGGGGGGCTTGCATCCAGTGAATATCCTGTTGTGTAGACGCTGCCTTAGTTTAATAATATTGTTATCATTTCTAAGTTTTAATTTATCTAATGTATTTTATAAAAATTTTAGGCGTTACTGGTCATTTACATATCATTTATAAGAAATTTGAGACTATTTATGAAGTATTATTTTACTTTTCTATTAACTCAGAGTTTTCCACTCATAAATCAGTCGAAGCCTCTAGTCTTTTATCTAATGCGTTAATATAAATTACACTAAATTGACCATTATAATTTATTAAGTATTAATAACCATAACTAAATAAGATTCTATAGTCAGTAGATACTAATATAGTGGGCGCTAAAAATTGTATAGAAACTGCAATTAATATATTAAAAAATAAAAATTGATAATTCTTTTGATTTGATAAGTATTACAAGTTTTATTTCCCCAATAATAATTTGCAGAAAATAATTCAATTAATACTTCCAATCATAATTTGGAGAAAATAATTCACGTGAATTACAAAAACATCATTAAATTTCAGGAAAAAAAATCCACTGATTTTTTATAAAAAAATAAATATACAAAAATTGATTGACATTTCATATAATCTATTTTTTTTTTAATTTGTATGTTCACAAACTGTGACAATAAGAATTCTAAGAAATTTATATAAAAATTTAATCACATCCCTCAAAAATCATCAAGGAGCCTCCAACAGCCAGGCTTGCCATCACCCCACTCC